AAAATTAAGGTACATCAAGTTATTTGACCTATAATTAAAACATTTTGAACCCCTGTAAGTGGAAATGTCCCTTGCCTGCTAAGGCTTTTTGTATCATTAAACTCTTTAAAGGATCTTTTTCTTGTAACAAGGGCTAGTGCTCTTGTTTTTAAACCTTTTTTAAGCTTGCTTGACTTGCTATAAGGTTTATTTTTCCTATTTAGAATTACTCTGCTTTCAAATGCATATGGTCTGAAGAGAGTGTATGTAGATTTTTTATTTATTGCATATCTTTAACTAATGGATACAAGCATTATCAAGTTTTTTAATCAAAATATAAACAAAAATATATTCAACTTCTTCTTATTTAGTTTGAACAAGATGAAGATATACAAAAGTAAGTTGAGAATGTTAAGTGCTACAAATTAAAACCCTGAAACTGAATATATAAGTATTATATATTTGTTTCTAGGTTTTTAATTTGAAGCACTCAATATAAGTATTATATTATATATCAAATTAATATAAAGTTAGATTAAAATACAGTCACATCTCTTTAAGTGCACTCATCTTGGGACCATATTAAAAAAAAAAGCAAAGCATGTACTTAAAAGAGGTGTGCACTTAGATAAATTAAAATTTATAGTTATTAGATTATTTGAAACTAAGAGAGAGTGTGCACTTAGAGAGGTTTTTCATATATCATGCACTTAGGGAGTATATACTTAGAGATGCAATTATAATTATAATCTTACTAATAGTAGTTCTATTACATTACTACTTGCTGATATTTACTCTTACCTTAACATAAGCTTTCACTCTAATCTTAATAAAACTCTACAACGTTTAAATTTTGATCTGATATAATTTTTTTTTTTTTATTCCTAGTGTTAGCACCTAGGAGCATGTATGGCACTCTTTATTAAAAATCAATTATTAAGAATATTGAATACATTTATATATATTTTTTGTTTTTTGAGAACAGTTTTTCAAACTATAATATAGAGTGTGTATGTCTTTACGAAGACATTTGATTACTATTAAAGGTAGAATTCTACTTGAAAGGTTGCTGTCTCCCTATTTAAAAGAAGTGTAAGTGCACCAGATTTTATAGATTATACTTGTATGCAGCCAGAGAGTAGCTTGCTTGTTTTAATTGTTTATAATGTTCATTGCTGTAAAAATTTCTTCTATAAAGATTGAAGAAGTCTCAATTTGGTTAGTTTTTAGAAGACTGTAGGCCTGTTTCCAAATTTCTTTGCTAACTTTGCATTTAAGTGTGAAATGTTCAGCTGTTTGTAGCTCATTGTCACACCAGGGGCAGCTTTCTGTAATAGAAGAGCTTATATGCTATAGTCAATATTCAAGTAGTAAAGCTTTATAGAAAAGGCACCATAAAATGTCTTTTTTCTTGTTAGCTGTTCTTTTAACAAGCATCCAGTTAGGTTGTTAACTAGAACTAGATGATTCAGGTGCCAGTCTTTTTCTTAGAATCTCGATGATTTTCTTAACTGAGAGTTCTTTACCATTAAGTTTTCCTATTTTGAGCTCTCAGGGCCAGTTTATTGTTGTGGTAACTTTGTCTTTGGCCTTTTTCCAGGCCAAGAGATATGGTTTTCATTCTTTTGGCCAGGCTTTTAATCTAATTATGTCTGTTCTGAGTGCCTGGTTTATTGAAATGTTTCACTTTTCTAGTAGGATTTCTGCAATTTTTTTTCTTTCATACTTAGCCCATGTAAAGTCACTAGTAAAAAGTTTTTTCTATACTGCGATTAGTTAAGCATCTAGCATATCTCCTACTATTGGAGCTTGAAGGCCATTTTGTTCAAGAGATTGTTGGAATGTGAAGTATTTAGGTAGTATTCTTGAGTTGTTTTTAATCCAGAAGGTTATAAGTCTGTTGATTTCTATGATCTGTTTTTTATTTAGCAAAGTTAGGTATACTGCATACCATATTTGTGAAAGTATAAGTGTCTTGGCTAAAAGAATTTTTTTCCTAAAAGAAAGATTTTGATTAGATAATTTCTCTAGTGTTTTTTTATTCTGAAGATTGTTGATGTCCATAGGTCTTTTTTGGAATGCCTTTTGTGTTTACTTTGTAGCCAAGAATTGTTAGTGTCTTATGTTATGTAGTTTTCATAAATTGGGATTCATCTTCAAGCTCAATCCTGTAGGCTGTGCTTGTAAGAGGCACTAATTTTGTTTTGCTTTTGTTAATCTTTGCATTGAAGGCAGCTTTATAGGTTTTGAAAAGTTGCACAATGCTTGTCCAATCTGATGATGAGCTTATTTCTAATGTTAAGTCATCTGCATAGGCTGATAGTTTAAAAAATTAATTTTTTAAAGGAATTCCTTGAATATTTCTTTCTAGTTATATAAGTAGTAGTTCGAAAGCAATTACATATAATAAGGAAGAGAGAGAATCACCTTGTCGTACTCCTCTTTCTACTCTGAAGGGTTCAGACAAAACATTGCTTTTTATAATATATGCCATTTGGGTTAAGAAAAGGTTGGCCACCAAGTTGGTCATTTTTTTTTTTAGCAAAGTTCATTTTTTTTAGAACCAAATTTAAGAAGTTGTAATTTACTCTGTCAAATGCCTTTTGCTGATCTACCAAAAGCATCCAGTGCTGCTTAAAATTATCTGATTGGTTTCTTAATATGATAATTATGTCCATGGCCATGTATGTTATTGATCTTCCAGAAACAAATCCTTGTTAATGGCTAGGAATGATTTTCTTACAAATTATATTAAACCTATTTGCTATGATTTTCATAAAGATTTTGGCATCACAATTTACTAGTAAGATTGGGTGCCAGTTGTTTAGATTCTTTAAGTTTCTGATTTTTTAGGAATTAATATGATTATGTTTCTGCACCATAAGTCAGGTAAGCAGCCAGTATCTAATACTTGATTGAACAACTTTTCTAGAACTGGTGCTATTTCTAATAATGTAAGTTTGTAGAATTCATAGGTTAGCTCATCAGTGCCAGGTGACTTGTTATTAGGAAGGCCTTGTATCACTTGATTTATTTCTTCCTGTGAAATTCTTTTGACCAAATTGTCATTTTGATCTTGTAGTACTTGAGGAAGATTTCAGTAATTTCTTCTGCTGCCTTGTAGTCTATGTTTTTTCTTTATAGATTTTTGTATATTGGTTTTTAATATATGTAATTGTATCTTTATTTTCTGAGCTTGAAGTTTCAGGTATTTCAATTTTGGATTGGACACTTTGTGATTTTCTTGCTTTGTATCTTGAGAAAAAATATTTTGTTAATTTTTCTCTATTTTCAATCCATTTTGTCTTTGACTGGATTAACCATGATTCAGCCATCTTAGTTAATTCCTCTTGTATTTGAAGGTTAAGTTCTTTTATATTCTCATTGAGATTTTCTTTTGAGGAGTCTGCTATGAGCTCTTTGCTTAACCTTGTAAAATCTTTGTTTAGTATTGTCATTTTGTTTTTAGGAGCTTTGGGTTTTCAAAAGGCTCTAATAATTGATTGTATATAGATTTTACATAGATCCCAGTTTTCTGCTGAGTCAGCATCCTGAATTTCCTCTAGCACCTCTCTATTTAGTAATTCATTTTTAAAAGATTCTTTATTGAACCTCCAGGCTGAAGACTGTTTAGAATCTTGTTTGAATTTGAGTATGCATCTTACTAGGAGGTGGTCTGAGTTGCTGAAGTGTGTACTAACTTTTGATATAAGGTGATTATGGTTCTCATCTATAATGATGTAGTTCAAGCATGTAGCCATTGAGTGATTATTTTGTGTTTTTTGAAAAAAAGTTAAAAAGGGCTTGGTGTTTGACATTTCTGCCATATTAATAAATTCTTTTGTTAAGTTGTAGAGCTGAGTTTTAGTTGAGTCATATTGGGCTGTTGCTTGGCTAATCCTGTTGTCATTAGGATTGAGATTGACATTGAAGTCACCTGCTATAATGTTTATATTATTTTCTTTGATTAGGGGTTTCTAATTATTAAAGAAGATTATTCTGTTACTGATGTTTGGTGGTGCATAGACATTTGTTATTTTGAAAGAATATCCTTTAAACACAAAGTCTGCTGTTATTATTCTTTCTTCATGGCTTGTCTGAATGTTTTTAAATTCAATGTCTTTGTTTTCTGCTAGAATTGCTGTTTTTTTGGTCCAAATTGAATTGTAGATCCATTGTTGTTTAAGAAATTTTTGTGTTTTTTTCATTATTGAGATTAGTTTCTTGAAGCATTATTATGTCTAATTTGTATGATTTTAAAAGAGTTAGTGAATTTTGTTGTTTGCTTTTGTTGTTAAGTTCTTTTACATTTAGTATTGCTATTTTTAATTTGGTTTTTTGAGGCATAATTATAAGAGGTTGTTAGATCTCTTAAATTGGGAGTAATTTTCTTCTTCACAAGTTTTCTTATAAGAAGATGAACTTGTCTTCTCCTTTTTAGATGTTCTGTTTCCTTTTTTTGATTTCTTGTTGGTGACTGTAATAAAGCCATCTGTTTCTTCATTTTTGTCAGAAAGGGATGCTGTCTTGGAAATGTGACTTGCAAATGGATGTGATGTTCCATAGCCATAAATGGCAAGTTTGTCTTTTGGCAGCAATTCTATATCTGGTAAGGAATCTTTTTGAGTTGTCATTTGCATTTGTTCATCTGAAATAATGTTGATTGTAACTGGTTCTGTCAAAACTAGGAGTTGGAGTTTCTGTTAATAGTAGGATCAGTCTCTTCTAAGGCCATATGTGCATCATCTTTTGCATCATCTAGTTCTGGTAGTTTCAAATTTTCTTGTAGTGAAGATTCTTTATTGATTTGTTCAATGTTTTCTAGAGTCTCATTTGACTCATGCAAGTTATCTGAAAATTTTTTGTTGTGTTTATCCTTTTTGTATTCTTGGTAACTAATTTGTAAGTTTACTGAATCCTGGAATTGTTGATATTCTTTTTTGACATAGCCTTCTTTTTCACAAAAGTAGCACATTTTGGATGCTGATTTTCATTTTGTTGTAACTTTATTGTATCACACATGTGTAAAACAAGGAATTTTGTTTTCTAAGTTAGGGTCATCCGAGTTTTCAAAGATTATAATTCATTGGTCTGTAAGGTATGGTGTTTCTTTAATCAATAAAGACTTAATTGAGGCAATTCTACCAATGAACTCAAAGGCTTCTTTTATAGCATCAGATAATGCTTCTTTGTTTTCTAATGGAACATTTCTGATCTTGACTGGAAGAAAAGATTTTCTTGAATCTGTGGAAATAAAGCCAAAATAGGTTCTGCCAAAAATATTAATTCCCTTGAGCACATGGTGTTTTAATTTTTCTTTGTTTTCAAATACAATTTCTATATGTGTCTATGTTCCTTTGTTTTGCTGCTATGATGTCCTCTTTGAGGTTCTTGAATAATGAGGTCATAATTTCATTAAAGGAGCTATGCATGCCTTGAACATCTATCATTAAGGCGTTTTCATTTTTTGATCTAATTTGGCTTCTGGGCCTAAAGGAGGAATAGGTGGACTGTCCCCTTCTTAGTTTTGAAAAGAAACTAGACTACTGTTTAGTTAGTATTTCTTTTGAGCCTTTTTGTTTGTTGCTGTCTTCTTGAGAGTTAACATAAGGGTTGGTTTTCTGTGTCTTATTTAATAATCTATCACTTTGTATATTTTTTGATACATCTAGCTTCTGTTTAGTTGTGTCTTTGATTTTCTCTGTGTTGTCTAATATTATCTGTTCCTCAGACATGTTGTTTGTTGTTGTGTTTGTGATGTCTACAGATGTGTTAGTGTTGTTTACTTTTTGGTCTTGAGTGGTTTGTTTGTCCCAGCTTGCTAAATTTTCACTAGAGGTTTTTTTTAGTGCTTGCTTTTCTTTTTGCTCATGTCTAGTAGCTTCTCCTTCAATAGTTATTGAACTTGAAGGACTTGATGTGTTTTTTTTTGTTTTTTTTTTTATATTTTTTCTGCTGTTTGCTGATGCCATTTTTTTTGTTGTTTTTGTGCTTTTTGTATATTAAAATTCTGTAAAGGACCTTTTTCTTGGAACAAGGGTAAAGGTCCTTGTTTTAGTAATTGCTTTAGCCAGTTTTGTCTTGTCATTTGTTATTATTTTAACAAAAAGGATTACTCTACTCCAAAACTTGTATGTTCAGGAGAGAGTGTATGTAGATCTTTTTGCTAGTGCTGTTTTAATTGGTCTTTCTAATTTCTTAACATTATGAGTACATCAAGTGCAGCATCTGTTATAGCCCTGTTGGCAATAAAGGCCTGTTGGGTTGGTCCAATGATGCTGTCACATATGGGGTTAATTTGGTTTGTGATAAGTTTCATAAAGATTTTGGCATCAGTATTCACTAGTGATATTGGTTTCCAGTTGTTTATATTAGTTAGTTCATCTGACTTTTTGGAAATTAATGTGATAAGGCTTTTGCTCCAAGAGATTGGAATTTGGCCTATTTCTAGCACTTGATTAAACAGTTTAGTAAGCATAAAGAGGATTGTTTCTTTAGTATCTTTATAAAATTCATATGTTAGGCCATCAGATCCTGAAGCTTTGTTATTTGGAAGCTTGTTGATTACTTGACTGATTTCTTCTTCTGTTATTTGTTTTTCTAGAAGTTCATTTTGTTGTGATGTGACTTTCAATAGATTGTTTGTAATATGTTCTGCAGCTTTTTCATCTATGTCTTCACTTTTGTATATTTTTTGA